TAGCGTGTTTATGTTACATGAAGCAGTTTAAGAAAGTTGGGTAATGCAGAGTCTGGGTCATGGCTCTCTCTAACCCATGTTCATGGTCACCCTTCCTGTCAGAGCCCACGCCCTCACTCTGTCTGCAGGGGAGCAAGTGGAGGCAGCCCTCATCAGCGCTGGCACCACCCTCTGAGTGGCAGTGACAGCAATGACAGTATGTGGAAGTGCAAAGTGTTGTTCCAGGAGCTTTACATGCATTTCTGCATTTAATAATTAAAGCCCTCCTGTGAGGAATCATTTTATGTTTTTAATGAATCATACATTTTATTTTGACTTTGATAGACTTCAAACCTCCAGAAAATTTACTAGAATAGTAAAATAAACGCTAAGATACAGTTCACCTAAAAGGGCACTATTTGCACTTTTATGTCTGGCTTATTTTAGTATAAACTTTCAAGGTTCATCCATGTTGTAGCCTCAATCAGTACATTATTCCTTTGGTTTGATAATAGCCTTTTTCTTTCTTTTTCCATTTTTTTCTATTTAAAAATATTTTCATTGAATTCTAGTCAGTTTATAATGTTGCATCAGTTTCTTGTGTACAGCACAACACTTCATTGATATAGGAACATACCTGTATTAATTTTCTTATTCTTTTTCAACATGTTACTATAAGGTATTAAATATATTCTCCTGTGCTATACAGTATAAACTTGCTCTTTATTCTATACATATTCAGTATCTGCAGATCTTGAACTCCCAATTTATTCCTTCCCACACCCTCTCCCCTCTGGTAACCATAGTTTGGTTTCTATGTCTCTGTGTCTGTTTCTGTTCTGTAGATAAATTTATCTTTTTGTTTGTTTTTTCTTGTTGTTGTTGTTGTTTTTAGATTCCACATATGAGCGATCTCATATGGTATTTTTCTTTCTCTTTGTGGGTTACTTCACTTAGAATGACATCCTCCAGATCCATTGATGTTGCTAAAATTGGCATTATTTTATTATTTTTTATGGGTGACTAGTAGTCTATTGTACAAATATACTACAACCAGTTTATCCAGTCATCTGTCAGTGGACATTTAGGTTGTTTCCATGTCTTATTAATGTAAATATTGCTGCTGTGAATATTGGGGTGTAGGTGTGTTTTTGAATTACGGTTCCTTCTGGATATATGCCCAGCAGTGGGATTGCTGGGTTATATGGGAGGTCAATTTTTTGTCTTTTGAGGAACCTCTATACAGTTTTCCACAATGGCTCCACCAAACTGCATTCCCAGCACAGTGTATGAGGTTTCCCTATTCTCCACAGCCTCTCCAGCATTTATTGTTTGTGAACTTCTGAATGATGGCTATTCTGACTGGTGAGATGTGATATTTGTTTGTTGTTTTGATTTGCATTTCTCTGATAATGATATTGAGCATTTTTTCATGTGCCTATTGGCTATTT